CCAAAGGCTAGTACACCGGAGTGTAAGATTTAAGTTTAGGTTTAACCCAAGCAAGATGAGTGCCATGACTATAACAAGAGATAGCAAACTCAAAGGGAGCACAGCTCCCATTGTCAAATTGTTCCCATTCCAAGTATCAGCTCTTTCCATTATCTCGGGGTGGTGTCGGATTCCAAGTTGAGCTTCTTACCCCACTTTAAAGAAGTCAGGAGGACAACTATGCAGATGAGCCAACAGTTCTTTCACACTACTAGACAGTAGTATTCCAACCACCCAGGTTTGCTGAAAATGATATATTTAGGGGCCGTTGAGAGGTATGCACTTGTTGATTACGCACTATGAGAGGTATGTTGGGGCGTGGGGACCCCGCCTCTCAAACTGTAAGATCAGTGATTGCCTAGACAGCATTCAAAGAACTTATGCACTCCTCATAAGCAAGTCATACAAGAGCGTTCCAACATTCAGCGCTTAAGTCTTAGCGTGAGTAGTCCCACTAGCATTAATGGCGACTAAAGAATATGCCAAATTCCAATTGCGCATTGGAGAGAATTTCATCATGGTGGATGACTTTGCTCATGATTCACGGGACTACGAGTCAAACGTGGACCTCTCGCATGGACCTCCTTCTGGTTGAGCATCCATCCACAAGATTCATTGTCCCTTTCAACTGTAACCTGCCCCGCGGGGGCGAGATGGAGATCTACACCAACGGTTTGGGGCTCGATGGCAGAGTTGGCGCTGCTTTCGTAGTCCTCTAGTACCGTGTGGAGATTCATCATGAAGCTTTTAGATTAGGTGACCTTAATTTGGTTTCCCAAGCCGAATTGCTTGTGATCAGGAGGGTTTTGGATTGGTGTACAAGGTTCCGAAGAAGATCCACCACAACTATCCACATGGATACTCTGTCGACTCTTTCTAACCCAAACCATCGTCACCCAATCGTGAACTTGGTCAAGGACCTATACCGTAGTGTTCGCCTTACTAAAACGGTTGAACTTAAGTGGATCAAAGCACACATAGGTTACTTCGGAAACGAATTAGCCGATGATCGTGCCAAACGCGCCACCTACAGGGACGAGATCGAAGTTGTCCTTCACATCCCACTCTCGAGATTCAGACGCTGTCTGAATGATTCAGTCATGCGCCAGTGGCAAATTCGATGGGAGTTGGCCAGTACAGGACGTTTAACGTTCCAGTGTATCACCAAGGTTGATACTGGAGCGCTTTACGGCAACCACTATATCAATCAGCTTATCACTGGGCACGGGAGATTCCTGCAGGACTACGAGAGGTTTGGCCCGAGTTCGTCCAGTAGTTGTAGTTGCGGACAGAGCACAGGAGATGCACTCCACTACTTGACAGTATGCAACTACACTCAAGAGTACCCGACAAAAGTTGTCTTTTGATCAGACTAATTTAAGTACTCTTCTTGTTAGTTCAAATCTCCCCACATATTTGAATAGATTGCAAAAGAGGTTGGAGAGCTCTTTGAACAGTTGTAAGTTTTTTAGGGTCTATAACCCATCTCGCCAGAGCTACCCTACTGGGCGCGTTAGAACGTGTAGCTTCTGAAAGGATTACCGTAAGGTGTCCTCTTGGCCAGTCTTCAGACTTTCGTTGGTTCTGAAGGTGTCTTCCGAGTCCCCGGCCTTTCGGCTGCGCACTCGCGACGGTATGTAGTATTTTCTTCTAAACTACACCATTTTCCCCTAATATACAAGTTATTTTGCACAGTGACCCCCATTACACAGTAACCAACCAGAACTAGAACTACACCCCGTAGTTCTAGTTCTGGTTGGTTATCCTTCTAAATTGAAGACAGAAAGTAAACTACACTCAGTTTCTGAAGACATTGGATTAAAAAAGGAAAGAATTGGATACATTTTTTGAATAGGTATTATTGCTCCAATCCGTAGAAAGGCAGAATGGAACTGTTTTAATGCACTCCATAACTGAAGATTTATTTTTCATATCAATTTTTTTAATAATTGCACCATTGTTATCCTTGCATTTGAGCATTTTGTAGCGACTTCGCTGTCAGGAAATATCTTTCTAAATAAAGGTACAGCATGGTCTCATACATGGCAGGATCAATGGCAGGTTGTGCTCCAGTAAAAAGAACAGAAAAGGCATTCTGTATTGCTAACTTTTTGGTTCTTTGTTTCCATGGAAAAATTTAAGTTTCCATTTTTTTTCAATACAGCTCACTTTGTCCTTGCGTTTTTGCATAGAACCATGTTTGAGAACATTGGCCCTTCCACCGTGTAAAAATACAAAAATCGCAATGACAGCAAGTACACATCATAAATGTATTACATTTCCTTGATGAAATAATAGAAGTCATCTGTGTACGAATTTTGAAAAGCAAATGAGTATTTTTCATCTTTTTTGCACATAACTAAGATAGTAATTTCTTCAACTATTTCTTAAAAGCACGTGACGCAGCACTCAACAGCGAGATGAACAGATTAATAGCATTGATCTTGCTTTGTACTCATTAGCTTCTCACTCACAAAGCATGCCATAATTTCTCATGAAACGATTTTAATTTTCTTTTATATGTAATCTAGAGGAAAACCAAGTGCTCTCAGATGCCCCAAATTACATTTTTTGGGGGGGAGGGTGCAAATAACAAAGAATTAAGCAAAGCTACGCTGGCCAGATGGTATAATGATCAGGGGAGCCTGAAAGGCCAGGTTCAAGTCAGGGACGTTTGTAAATGCATATTGTCTTTGTGGCATAGGGGCAATCTAAATATATGGCGAGCCAAAAGTCCTCTCATGTGGTTTGGTGGTAGGACAGAGCATAGGGAGACCCATAGAACCCCTCCCCTCTGTGTGCTTTCCCTCAAAATTGGTGTGGATGTAGACGTTTGACCTCCTTGCTGCTCTCGCAACCATTTCTTCCATGGATTACATAAACAAGACAACAACAAGCAACACTACATAAAAATGAGAAATTTTAAGAATAAGAGAAAGTCGGGAGAAATATGCTATAAACTGGGCTGGCAGGAGAATGGTCGGAAATGAAAATTTTCACACCATCAGAAGAATTGGCAATTGTGCTTTTGAGGCATCTCTTTTTCATTCTTTAAAGTTTTGCTTCTCTCCCATTAAATTTTGTAAACGGACCAATGATTGTGGTTTTGTTAAGGAAAACTGGCTTGACTGGTGTGCTCACCTCAATAAGTGTATCTCTAAATCTCATTATGATGGTTTTTTTTTTTATATAGATATATATATATATAACTTGCTAACTTTCTTGCCAGTTAACTGACATTGATAAACTCAAAACTGTAAAGACACTCCCCAACAAAAAAAGAAGGAAAAAAAAAAAAAAAACTTCCTGTAGTCTGCTTGAAATCACATGATGCCATAAGGGTTTAAAATACTAAACAAAGTCCCATGTAAGTTTAGCAAAATCAAGAGAAATTTTTCCTGATTTGTAGGGTAATATGTGGTAAACATTTAGAAAAGTAATTATAAAGTCATTAGTATGGAGGGGGAAAGCAAATATCTGAAACTAAATATTGACATTCAAGATATAGTTTGAAATATTTAACATGTAATTAAAAATAATTATCACTAAAATTTATGTGTCTAGTGACATTCTATCCAATAAATATTTACATACTTTTATGCATAACACAGCATATAATTTGAATTAAATCAAAAACTATTCAAAGTTTTGAAGAAACGGAACCTTTAACACAATCTTTTTTCTATTCAAAAACTGAACATCTCTAAATAATCAATAATTCTGAAATATTCTGCAATAGCATAATATCCTACTGTTACCAATCTTGTTATAATGACTAAAATAATTAGTGCATTACTTTTTCATTGAATGCTTTCAACATGAAGGAGGAATTGGCATTTAAGTCTATTTATGGAAAAGTGCTGTCAGAATAACATAACTGACAAATTAAATAACTTTATCTATAATGCATTGTAAGTCATCTAGAATACAACAGCCTTTCTGCTCGAGATGTTAAGCCAATTCATAAACAAATATAATAATCTCAGTCATCTGAAATTTCAATAAATGAAAACTAAATTTGAAGTCCCTACTTGCTGAGTTCTTACAACATATTTCTTCTAGCTAATTGCAAAGCCCAACCATGCATTATCACTTTAAAACACCTTCCCTTATTATCTCTGTTTTGCGAGTGAGTATTTTCATTTAGTACTTGTTAAAAGAAACTGGTTTTTATTTATTTACATTTTATGCAGAGAAAACTATGCAAATCATATTTAGTTAATTTTTTTTTTTTTTTTTTTTCAGGCCAGCAGAAATGATTCCAAATAGAAACACATCAAACCACCAATGTTATAGTTCAAAATCATTTCATTGAAGCATAAAAATTCATCACTTTAATCATTAAAAGCAAACATAACACGTGGTTATATTCAGATTAGAGGGGGGGGAAAAAAAAAAACTGAAAAGTTTCAGATTTAAAATTACATCCAAAGGGGTGTTTTTTTAACATTTTGTGTGTTACCTTTACTTATTAAATATCATGTTCTTCGCACTTAAACCATAAATTTTAGTCTTTAGAATTTCCGATACACAGTTCCGCACGCTGGAGATAAAAAGGTTTTCCCCCTCCGTAGATTGTTGCCATTGCTCGCTTTCAAATTGTTGAGTTCGTTACTAAAAAAAATTCGTTAAAATTTTACAAAATATGAAATCGATAATAAAACAAATTCCAAATTTCAAATTTGGACTTCCACATGCCCATATTCGCAGTAGGATTACGTCAATCAAAATTTGATGTCTCCGTGTACCGTTGTCTTATCCCAATGCGAGAAATATACATACATTTATGCAGATTTTTCATTACTTAATTTCTTCAAATATAATGCAGGACTCTAAAATTTGGTGGCAACAGTTTGAAAAGTGAAACGGACATTTATAGTGATTCAATGCAAAATCGCAAAACGAAAACAATAATTCTTCAGGGACAAACCCCTTTGGACTAATAAAAATATGTATGAAAATTAGAAAATAGACTTTTATTATATAATCTGGGAGATAATTGCAATACAAATAACAAATTTACAATTTATGACTGAACATTTACAATGATCCAAACTCTTTCATATATTTATAATTTATCAATAACAAAAAAAGGAAAATAAAATCCTCAGTCCAAGTATTATTCAGGACAACATCACAAAGGCCGACGCCTATGAGATTTCAATGTTACCTTCTGAGTTTCATTTAAGTATCCTGAAAAGAAATAGTCAATAATGTAAAATTAATGACATGAACATTAATTTTTTTTTCTGCATTCAAATCTCCTTTTTTTTTTTTTTTTTTTTTTTTTTTTTTTTTTTTTTGTTTCTCAGAGAATTAAAAAGTGAGAATTTTGATAAAAGCAGGAAACAAATTGATCAAGATATGGGAAACCCTAAATGTAATAAAATAGGAAAGAATGATATGCCAAGTAAAACTGAATGAAAAGAAAAACGTTATTCAGCATCAGTTTTATTTTAATAGACACACTTTCAGCAACCACACACAATCATTTACTTCAACTAAATGAAAGACAAATATCAGAAAAATAAATCAAGGAATTCTCAAGAACTTACTAGTAGTTCTAAGATGAATGGAACAAAACAAAAAATAAATAAATAAATAAAAGGGAAGAAAGAGAAAGTGGCACCATCTAATGTTAAATAATAGAATCAGATTAAGAGCTGTTATGTTTATAGATGGGTGAGAAATACGGGTTAAAATTTCATTCATTGACTAACGTAGAGAGACTTTTGTAGACATGAAAAGTCTTACAGAAATCTAATAATCAATTCAGAAATTTCTTTTGGATCATTTTCACAGAAGTAAAGCCGAATTTGTGATTTGCAGACCAATAGTATTGAGCAATAGATATTTGGAAAACAGGACATTAAATTTTACTCTCATCAAGGAAAAAATTCTGATCATCCTAATTTTATGTGTGATTAAAGGTTAGAAAAATGAAATAATGATAAATAAATAAACACCATTTGCAGCATATATAGTACAAAGTTCAATATCTGGGCCTCCAACCAAAGAAAATAATATAAAGAAGCAGTTAATTATATCATTAATTACATAATCATACTTGTACCTCAAAGAAAGTTGTATGAACAAAATTTAGAATCAATTTGTATTACCTCTGGCTTTACATTCTTGAGTATCAGGAAAATCTAACTCCCAGAAATGTTCTGGAGTAGAAGGCGGTTCAAATTTGCCTCGATGACGAGAACACTTTTTCAACCTTTCCTTCTTTTCTTTATCAGACAGGCCAAGATCAGTATAATACTAAAGATATAAATTTAAAAAAGATAAGAAAATTTATAAAACCATCATGTCTTGCATTAAAACATATTTACAGTATTTGTTTCTTCCTTTTTAAACCTAAACAGAAAACTATTACTAGCATTTAAAATACCAGAAAAATACTTAAACAGCCTAGGATTAAAGGTACATTAAGCATTAAAAATCAGGGGGCTAATCAGCTATTATTAACCATCACAATAACCAGGACAGTGTGCTCTTTATGAATTCAATAACAAATATATTTTAAATAAATCAGCATGCACAGGTATTTATAAAAAAATCCCATTACATCAGAATTTTTAAAAACTTAATAATAATAAAAAAAAAAAAAAAAAAAGATGATCCTTTAGTAATAATTTTATTATTACTATTAACTAATAAAAAACTGAGTTTGAGATATGTTTTGAGTGATGCATAGTTTTGTAATGTGAATTTAAAAAAAAAAAAAAAAAAAAAAAAAAATCTTACCTCTGCACCAACCTCTGAAAAATTTGTATTTCTGTTGCTCATTCACAACTTTTTAAATCCAAAGTTGCTAACCTTGAAATATTACCAGAGATTCTCATACACGGCAACACCATTTCAAGGACTTCAAATTAATTAAGACACAATAACATGCCAAACAAATACTAATTCAAAAGTCAAACAACAAAAACCAGCATTATATTTTCGAAATTTTCACAGGACTACTTTTGATGGTTTTACCGAACCACCATCCTCAGCTGTAAAACCGCAAATGAACAAGATAGGAAATACTGATTAGATAAGATAAGAAAGCCTGGACAAGAATAATCAAGTGGCGCCATCTGTTGATGAAACCAGAACTAAAACATTATTTCTTTAACAGCCGAAGGCAAAGTTGGATTGGAATTAGGATCGTTAACTAGACCAGAAAGGCTTTTTTTGAATGTGAAATGCCTCTAGAAAATCCAGTTCTCCAATGGAAGATGTTTTTTGAATAATTTTGGCAGCAGAAAAATTGAAAGTGTGATTTTCGGACCGACAATGTTGAGCAACAGAAGATTTCTGTGTTTCCTTTTTTCTAGCATATGCTTCATGTTCCTTGAAGCGAAATTTTAAGGCTCTCTTAGTTTGGCCAATGTAAATTAAACCACACTGGCAAATAATCCTATAAATACCCCAGGAATTCATATCCAGAATGGGGTCCTTGAGTATGGATTTCGGAATTTTATTCATGGGAGAATAAACGACCCGAAAGTTAAATTTCTGCAAAATATGTGAAACTTTATAGCTAATTGATTGAAAGAAGGGATTGACAAAAGAATTTTTATAATCTAAGAGTGTGCCGTTTAGTGTGTTGAGCTGAGAATTTTTTAACTGCTTGATTAATAATGTTGGGTGAAAAGCCCCTGTCAATAGCTATTGCTTTTAAATAATTTAATTCTTCATCAAGGGATAGTTTGGAGGAGCAAACTTTAAGAGCACGGAAAACATAGAAATAAAATGAAGCTAACTTTTGTTTAGTCGGATGACATGATTTAAAGTGTGGTGGAAGGCAAACCGATGAAGGTTTACGGTAAACTGTAGTACTGAAGTTGGATGTGTTATGTGTGACTAGAATGTCGAGAAACAGAAGAGAATTATTGCAAGTCTCAAGTTCAAAAGTGAAATTAATAGCAGGATCAATAGAATTCATTGTTGAAAGAACTTTATTTAAATCATCTTTATTACCTACAAACAGAGTAAAAGTATCGTGTACGTAGCGGAACCATACTGGGAAGTTTAAAGTTTCAAACCATTTTGATTCATAATAATGCATGTAGATATCAGCCAGGATGGGACTGAGGGGGCTTCCCATTACTAATTCCTCAGTTTGCTTGTAATATTTATTTTGGAAAACAAAATGTATTTGTTTCACACAGAGTTGAGTGAGAGAAATTAGCTTATCAATTTCGATGCAAGAGAAATGAAATTTGCGAAGTCTGGTTTCTAGACATCTTAATGCACCTCCACTTGAACATTGGTAAATAATGATTTTACATCAAAAGAAACCATGAGTAAATTTCTATGGGAAATGTTTTTAACCTTTTTTACAAACTCTATTGAATTTTTTTATGGTGTAAATGTTATTGTCTGATAGAGTTGAAAATCTAGAAACTAAATATTTAGCTAATAAGTACCAGGCAGTACCTAAATTTGATACAATAGGGAGGAAAGGAATACCACTTTTGTGAATTTTGGGAAGAGCATATGATCTAGCACAATTTGCAACAGATGGGATAAGCGAATGTTTTAGGTTGCTTGAAATGATTTGTGAAGATTTGAATGCAGTTTTAATTTTTGACAGGTCCGAAGGGAAAGGACCTTTAGAGATCGGATTATATGGTCCTTCGTTTTAGTGACAGTTTCGATGTAAGTGTTTTTATCCATGACGACCGACTATCTGGCCACCTTTGTCGGCCTTTGAAATCATAATATCCGGGTTAGAATGAATTTTGCACATTGTAGCTCTTTCTCTCACAGTTAGATTTGGTTTCAAAGGTTTATTATTGAATTTCACATTATGAGCAATAAGATGCCTAATAATTTCTTTCTGTGAATCTGAAACTTAAAGCTTTTTCGATAGGAGCCACATCTTTGGAATCGAGGGTTTACAGGTTTGTGAGAAGTTAAAATTATATTTTACAATTCTCTCTTGTTCTTCTGATAAACTAACATTAGAAATATTAACTATTGGCTTAATGTTTACAATGGGAAGATTATTTGAACTGCTTGAACTGGAAGACTAAAAGAAGCTTTTCGAATTTAACTGCAAGGGTGTTTTTATGACGGTTAACTGCATTCTTCGTTCTAGACCAAGACTTTTGTTCAAGGGCAGTGAATTTTGGATATGAATTAGTGAGTTCCAGATGAAGCTTATAGAGCTCATATTCAATTTTGGACAATTGTTGACGTGTATCCCTTATGATGGACCGAAGTAAGGCAAGCTTGCAATTTAACAAAATTCTTGAAGTGCGACTGGAAGGTTTTTGATTAGATGCGATTTGAATGAAATTGGGGATCAATTTTTTACATTTACACTTAAGTAAAAAGTCAAGATGATTCAGGAATTTCGAAAATATAACGCTGATTTTTGTTCTTTGACTTCTGAATTAGTATTTGTTCGGCGTGTTATTGTGTCTTAATTATAGAAGCCCCAAACAGGCTTATTTTTTGCATTCTTTTTTCCATGTGGTTTTCGTGTTCTTGCGTTTGTACGTCTTTCGGAGCCGAAAACGGCTTACTTTTTTGCACATGGTGTGGGCGCCATTTTGTGATTGCATGGGTTTTGGTAAGTACTTTTTTGCAATTTTGAAGTTCTGTTTGTGTTTCGCATATTTTGCTATTGTGCTTTACTTACGTGATTTCATGCATTTTGGTTGCAAACGTTTTGTTTTCTATTCGTTTCAGTGAGGGATTTTTCTGCTGTTTTGTGCGTACTTTATTATTGGTTAGTTAATTTAGAGTGATTTTGTGCATTGTTTATCATGCCTTCATCCGTTAATTGTTTTACTAAATTATGCCTAAAACGGCAAAAATTCCTGAATCATCTTGATTTTTTACTTAAGTGTAAATGTAAAAAATTGATCCCCAATTTCCTTCAAACCAAATCTAATCAAAAACCTTCCAGTCGCACTTCAAGAATTCTGTTAAATTGCAAACTTGCCTTACTCCATCCATCATAAGGGATACACGTCAACAATTGTCCAAAATTGAATATGAGCTCTATAAGCTTCATCTGGAACTCGCTAATTCACATCCAAAATTCACTGCTCTTGAACAAAAGACTTGGTCTGAAACAGAGAATGCAGTTAACCGTCATAAAAACACCCTTGCAGTTAAATTCGAAAAGCTTCTTTTACAGTATTCCAGGTTCAAGCAGTTCAAAAAATCTTCCCATTGTAAACATTAAACCAATAGTTAATATTTCTAATGTTAGTTTATCAGAAGAACAAAAGAGAATTCTCAAATATAATTTTAACTTCTCACAAACCTGTAAACCCTCAATTCCAAAGATTTTGGCTCCTATTGAAAACGCTTTCAAGTTCAGTAAAGTTTCAGATTCACAGAAAGAAATTATTAGGCATCTTATCGCTCATAATGTGAAATTCAATAATAAACCTTTGAAACCAAATCTAACTGTGAGAGAAAGAGCTACATTGCGTGAAATTTATTCTAACCCGGATATTATGATTTCAAAGGCCGACAAAGGTGGCCAGCTAGTCGGTCGTCATGGATAAAAACACTTACATCAAAACTGTCACTAAAACGAAGGACCATATAATCCTATCTCTAAAGATCCTTCCCCTTCGGACCTGTCAAAAATAAAAACTGCGATTAAATCATCACAAATCATTTCAAGCAACTTGAAACATTCGCTTATCCCATCTGTTGCGAATTGTGCCAGATTATCTGCTCTTCCCAAATTTCATAAAAGTGGTATTCCTTTCCTCCCTATTGTATCAAATTTAGGTACTGCCTGGTACTTATTAGCTAAATATTTAGTTTCTAGATTTTCAACTCTATCAGACAATAACATTTACACCATAAAAAATTCAATAGAGTTTGTAAAAAAGGTTAAAAACATTTCCCCTAGAAATTTACTCATGGTTTCTTTTGATGTAAAATCATTATTTACCAATGTTCAAGTGGAGGGGCATTAAGATGTCTAGAAACCAGACCTCGCAAATTTCATTTCTCTTGCATCGAAATTGATGAGCTAATTTTTCGCACTCTGTTTGAAACAAACACATTTTGTTTTCCAAAATAAATATTACAAGCAAACTGAGGGATTAGTCATGGGAAGCCCCCTAAGTCCCATCCTGGCTGATATCTACAAGCATTATTATGAATCAAAATTGTTTGAAACTTTAAACTTCCCGGTATGGTTGCGCTACATAGACGATACTTTTACCCTGTTTAAAGGTAATAAAGATGATTTAAATAAGGTTCTTTCAACAATGAATTCTATTGATCCTGCTTTTCAGTTCACTTTTGAACTTGAAACTTGCAATTCTCTTCTGTTTCTCAACATTCTGGTCACACGTAACACACCCAACTTCTACTACTGTTTACTACTGTTTGCCGTAAACCTTCATCGGTTTGCCTTCTACCACACTTTAAATCATGTCATCCGACTAAACAAAAGTTAGCTTCATTTTATTCATATGTTTTCCGTGCTCTTAAAGTTTGCTCCTCCAAACTATCCCTTGATGAAGAACTAAATTATTTAAAAGCAATAGCTATTGACAAGGGCTTTTCACCCAACATTATTAATCAAGCAGTTAAAAAATTCTCAGCTCAACACACTAAAAGGCACACTCTTGCTTTAGATTATAAAAATTATGTTGTCATTTCCTTCTTTCCATAATTAGCTATAAAGTTGCACATATTTTGCAGAAATTTAACTTTCGGGTCGTTTATTCTCCCATCAATAAAATTCCGAAACCCATACTCAAGGACCCCGTTCTGGATATGAATTCCTGGGGTATTTATAGGATTCTTTGCGAGTGCGGTTTAATTTACATTGGCGAAACTAAGAGAGCCTTAAAATTTCGCGTCAAGGAACATGAGGCATATGCTAGAAAAAAGGAAACACAGAAGTCTTCTGTTGCTCAACATTGTTGGTCCGAAAATCACACTTTAAATTTTTCTGCTGCCAAAATTATTCAAAAAACATCTTCCATTAGAGAACTGGATTTTCTAGAGGCATTTCACATTCAAAAAAAGTCTTTCTGGTCTAGTTAACGATCCTAATTCCAATCCAACTTTGCCTTCGGCTTTTAAAGAAATAATGTTTTAGTTCTGGTTTCATCAATAGATGGCACCACTTGATTATGCTTTTCCAGGCTTTCTTATCTTATCTAATCATTATTTCCTATCTTGTTCATTCGCGGTTTTACAGCTGAGGATGGTGGTTCGGTAAAACCATCGAAACTAGTCCTGTGAAAATTTCGAAAATATAACGCTGATTTTTGTTGTTTGACTTCTGAATTAACTTCACATTAATTTTAATTGACTTCATAATGCAGGATTTATGTTATTGAATTACTTATGATATGATATGTTTCTGACTTAAAATATATTAATATTTCTTTCAGATTTAGGGATTTAACTGGTTTTAAATTTCATTTCTTTTATGTCGTTTTGGTTTTAAATTTTATGTTCCATGGCTAATTTTGTGTTATAATTTTTCTTTTTTATTGAGAAAATTCTGAGTAGGGAAGGAAAGATTTAATTTATCAAATACTTTATATATGATGAAAATAAAATTAATAAACATATTTTGTAGATAAGCTTAGTAATGTACAACCTATTGATGTAAAAAAAAATTAAATGAAAATATTAACTAATAAAAAACATTGGTTGAATCTCTATTCTAGAAGTTCTACAAACGTCTACAGTAAATTAAAACAATTCACATCAAATAAAATTTAATAATAAAAATTTTACTGAAAATTACTAAAAGTAGAGGAATGGAATTTGCACACTTTAAGTTTCATTAGTTCCATAAATTGAATTTATTGATGGGAAACATTTTCCTTGGCTGTTCTTTTCCTTAGTTAATGCTAAAAATTAAAAAAATGGGAGAGTTAGTAGTGCAGTTATGTAAATGTATGTAAAGACATAACTGCAATCTCATATTAGTGCATATTTCTCTTCAATTAGCAGTGATAAAACATAGTTCTTTAACGAAATTAAACTATATAGCTGTAAAAATGTTTATACACAATTTACAATATCTTCTGAAATGATTTATTAAAATTTCATGGTAAAACTCTTGAAAATTCTTGATTTATATATTCATTATTTCAGTTAAAGAGCATGCAGCCTTCCGGAAAAAATACACTCTTTTGCAAAAAAATCGAAGCACCATGAAGGAAGAATTTGTTTTTGATGAAACTGAATAGCTCATACACAGATAATATAATGATTAAAAAATCAAGGTCGTAGTATCTGTTCACGGCTCACAATCACCCATTGAGTGTTTAAATTAGTAGTTGGTCGAACCTCCCCTGGCGGCAACACATGTTTGAATTCATCGAGGCAAGGAGTGGTAGAGGTTCCTAATGTCATCCTGCGACACATTCTGCAAGGCATTCATCAGTTGTCGCTCCAGATCTGCGATATTTTGTGGTGCCCAAATCTGGGGGCCTACTATGTCCTAAACATGCTCGATTGGTGAAAGGTCTCGTGACTTTGCTGGCCAAGGAAGAGTATCAACAGCACGGAGACAGTCCAGAGATATGCGAGCGGTATGTGGCCTGGCATCATCTTGTTGGAAAATGGCCCCAGGATGACGTGCAATGAAGGGTAATGCAACCGGCCGCAGGATGGTATCAACATATCGTTGACCTGTTAAAGATGTATGGAGGATGGCTAAAGATGACCTGCTGTCATAAGAAATAGCACCCCACACCATCACACTAGGCGATAGAGCTGTATGCTTTTGTAAAGCAAAGGCTGATTGGGACCGCTGGCCCCATCCTCTCCAGACATGAACACGGTGGTCATTTGCTTCAAGAATGAAGCGGGATTCATCGCTGAACACTATATGATGACAGCCGGGATGATCTGCTACACCACTCCAGACGACTCTGCCGATGTTGTGGGGTCAAAGGCAAACGTCTTAAAGGCCTTTATGAGTGTAACTCCGCCACAGACAAGCACCGTGAGATGGTGGACGGTACCACGGGAGATATAGATGTGGCTATAATGCATCAAATAGTCGACAATGATACCGTTGGGACGGTTAGGGCCTAGAGAATAATCATCCTATCTTGCCTCGCACTTGTGCTCCTTGGCCTTCCAGAGCCGCTTTTTCGTCGGCAATTTCCTTGTAGCAACCATTGCTGCCAACATCTTTACACATCAGTGTCTGTACGCTGCAGGTGGTGGCCTATTGCTCGGTATGACCACCCAGCTTCATGCAACCCCACAATGCGACCATGTTGGAAGTTGTTTAGTTGTCTGTAAAGTCTTCAATATCGTCATAATGGCATCTTTAGCTGCTTCTTTACAGAATTACAATAGCAGCAGCAACAACAACAAAAAGATAAATTTTCCGCCTCTGTTATTGGTTTTATACTTTGCAAATTGTGCACTAGAAATGCACGTTATGATCGCAATTTCTGTTCATTTGCCTTGAAACTTTGATCATTTGCATGTTCTATCAAGATGTTTTTGCATACCAAATTTCGTCATGACCACAAAAGTCCTTCTTGATGCTTCGATATTTTTTGCAAAAGAGTGTATTTCTACTAAAATTTTTAGATATACAGTTCATTTATGAATAAAGAGAACTTCCTTGAACTTTCACTATAATTCCTCTCCTATACCACTAGTCATTTCATTATAATTTTAAAAATTAAAATTTCTTCAAATATAAAAATTATGACAGCTACTTCTTTGGATAAAAAAGTACTACACATACAAACATTTAAAGAGAAAAAATTTAATAATAAATTTCAGTTTAATCAATAAGGCATCATGTTTAGCACTAACATCTATATCTAAATAAGACAATAAATAAATAAATATTTTTTGTTTAAAATGCATCTGAACTGGTGCAATAAATACAGAATTCAGGAAAAGTGTAGTAAATACAGCTTCCAGGAACTGAAATACCTTTTCACACATTTTGCAATCAAATCCATTCAGCCGTTTTCTTTTTGCTTTTTCACGAATAGTTGCTTCTTTGTACTTATAATTAGGTTCAGGTGCTGCAGGTAACCTTAAGAGTAAAAATAAATTATATAAATTAAAATGCTAATAAAATATGAAAATAGTTTAAAGCCTGCATAACTGTAATTATCAGTAAACAGTGTACTTTTTTACAAATGGTAATAAATTTTTGAATAGAATAATATTTATAAAAATGAAACAACAACCCATGCTAGGCATAGATCTTTAGTATAGAAACTCTATCAATTTCAAGGGCGAACGATCAGGAGCAATGAAATCTGCAACTGTAAAACCAAGTTACATACATAGTTAACACCCTAAAGAAGTCGAGAGAGTAGCGCCATCTGTTAGTGGAAATAACGAAAATTGAAAAATTAGGATAATAAGCGATTTAAAAGTGTTAGGTAGGACGGCATTAAAATCATCAACTACACATGATAAATTTTTGTGAATGTGAAAAGCTTCAAGAAAATCTATTCTCCAGTGGAAGAAGCTTTCTGGATAATGTTTGCAGACCCAAAGTCGAAGTTATGATTAAACTTCCAGCTATGATTAGCAATCAAAGACATGTAAAGTTCACTTTTTTGAACATAAGATTCATGTTCCTTAACGTGAAATTTTAATGCTCTTTTGGCATTGCTGATATATCTTCTCGAACCACACTGAGAAGATATGCTATAAATTCCTTAAGAATTGAAGTCAGAAATAGTATCGTTAAGAACTGAACCATGGATTTTATTAATAGGCGAGAAAATGACTTGAAAATTGAACTTCTGCAGAATTTTTGCAATTTTGTAACTGACAGAAGGAGCAAAGGGAAGCACAATTAGGTAATTAATGTTATTTCTAACAGCGGAATTTTTTCTTCGATGGAAAGAGGAAAACTCATGAAAGAAAATCCCCTGTCAGTGGTAACTGCTCTCAAGTAATTAAGTTCATTATCATGCAGAGATTCACAGGAATAAGCTTTGAGAGCACGAAAAACATAATAGTAAAAAGAAGCCATTTTTTTAGAAAATTGACATGACTTAACAAGGAGAGGCAAATAAACAGAAAAGGGTTTACGGCAAATGGAAGTGTTAAAATCAGATTCATCATGGATTATAAGACTATTAAGGAGGAAGTGTACTGTCAGATTCAGATTCAAATGTGAACTGGATGGATGGATCAATTGAATTAATAATAGATAAAATATTCAATAAGTCTTCTTTGTTACATCAAAATGTGCAGAAGTGTCCTCAACGTAGTGAATCCAGAGATGAAAACATAGTTTCTCAGATAATTTGACTTCAAAATAGTGCATATCAATGTCAGCAAATATAGGACTGAGGGGGATTACCCATAGCTAATTCCTTCAATTTGGCAATATCATTTATTTTGGAAAACAGAGAGTTTCAGATCTTTAAGTTAATCAACACTTCAAAAGAATTTTTTATAGTGTAAATATTAATAGAAAGTAAAGGAGAAAATACAGAAACAAAATATTTGGCCAAAGGATAAGATGCCGATTCTAAGTTCGAAACTATAGGTCACAAAGGAATTCCAGTTTTGTAAATTTTGGGGAGGGCATAAAACCCAGCACAGTTAGCAATGGGTGAAATGAGTGATTTCTTACACTGATTGGACAGTATACAAGACAATTTAACAGCTGTTTTAACTTTCGTGAGGTCAGAAGTTAGAGGATCTTTAGGGATCGAGCAATATAGGCTTCACTTATCAGTTTCATGACTCCATCAATATATGTTTGTCTATAACAATGATCTGTCCATCCATATCAGCTTTGGAAATTATAATGTTAACATTAGATTGAATTTCACATAAGGCCTGCCTTTCCTTTTGGTTAAAATTTGGAACAAATGATTTGTTATTAAAATTTACATTATACGTAATTCAGTGGCAAATTTTATCTTTCTGGGTTTCTGAAATATTGGAAAATTTTAATGCTTTTTTGATAGGGGCGATGATTTGAGGAATTGAAGGTTTAGATGTCTTCGAAAAATTGAAGTTATATTTTAATACTTTCATCTGATTTTCTAAAAGATTAACATTCAAGATATTCACAATGGGATTAGTATTAACCGTGGGAAGATAACCAAGATGGGCAGGGTTAGCCGAATGGGGTGTGAGCTTTAGGAATTCAGAATCTAAGACATTTTTATAGCTTACACAGGTGACTTCAGTTCTAGACCAAGAGTTATGGTCAAAAGAGGAAACATTTAAAGTAGAATTAGCAACTTTTAAATGAAGGTAATATAATTCATATTCAATTTTAGACAAAGCTTTGCATGTGTTTCTTATAATGTGACGAAGAAGTGTCAATTTGAATTTATGAATAATTTTCGACACATGAACTTGTATAAATTGAGAATTATACAAATTCATGTGTCAAAAACCCACTGAGATTATTTGTATTTATTTGTATAAATTTAGAATGACATTATGATGTTTGCATTTAAGCAAAAAAAATGGAGATGGTTCAAGAATTTCATACGCTTAAGACGTAATTTATAAAATCGGTTCCTGTCTGCTGACGTATTCTAGGCAAAACAAGCACGAAAAAGTGGTGAACATAAAAATTATGAAAAGCCATAAATAAGCCAAAACGATAAAAATATCTAAAGAACAAAGTTACAAACGAAATAACTGAAGAAAGCAAAACAATACAAAAATGAAACACTACTGATAAAATTTTAAATAAGTAAATAAATAATATACAAAGTAATTTGCTCAGAGAATATGTTAAAATGTTCAAAACGAAATAAAAAGATGGACTCACCAACTCCAGAGAATGAAGATATACAGCAACTACGTGAAAAACGAAGCAAAAAAAAAAAAAAAAAAAAGGTGCAAGCCGGTAAACTATCAAAGCTGAACGAAATTTTCTCGAAAATACCGGTTGGTAGCAAAAATCAAGACAGAAGAGAAACACGCCTCAAATAAAAATTATAATGAAATATTAAAGATAAAATACTTGAAAGAAACTTTTGGTTCTAAAATCGTTTTAATTAACAATGGCTGGAAGACCTTTTTTACAATCATCGTCTTTCTTAAGAGCTAGAAATTCAAAAATCAAATGAATCACAAAATTATTGCCACAAAATATTTACATTATAACAAATATGGTAAATTATAAATACTGAGTTCATTCACAATCCTGGATAAAAATCAGGAAATTTTAATCACAGCATTTATTGGCTCATTTTGATCGGAGAAATCACTGCGAATGGACTAACTGCATATATGGTTTCATAATTTTTTTCATGTGTATTGTGAATACTAACCAGTTTACATCAGAAAGGCATATATGGAAATTTAAAACCAGTAAAATCCCTAAATCTCCCAATAAAATTTTGCTTTAAAAATGTTTTTGTTTTAATAAAGTATTCATTATTTTACACAAGAATACAAGAATCAAATCATAAATAGTTCAGTAACATGAATCCTGCATTATTAAGTGAATTTAAATCAAGTTGAAGCTCTTTTGAAATGGTGTTGCCAAGCACAAGAATCTTCCAGTTTTCTATATTTCAAGGCTGGCGGCTTTGGATTTAAAAAGTTGTGAAGAAAAGAATGAACAATTATAACTTTTATGTGTTATTCAAAACATCAAAAACAAAATTGCTAAAGGGTTTGTCCAACTCTTTGAAATAAAAAATAAATGAAGATTTAAAGAAATATAAATTATAGCTTCAGAATTAACAGGAGTATTAAATATACCAAGTAGGTGCTTATTAAATTGGCATGACATATGAAATTATTAAGGGGAAGGTTCCACCTCCTGCTTGTTAGCATTTGCTTAACTCCAGAAATACACTGAGATTATTTGGATAATATTGCTTCCCCCTCCCCGATACTTTTGTCTAACAACTGAATTTACAGTACAGGATCTATAATACTGCCTCTTAAAATCTCTTCTTTCTCATTTGATATCATCCACAGATAGATATATTTATCTGGCAAAAACAACAGAAAAAAAAGGTATTACACTTTAAAAAAGACAAAACTGAACTTATTTCTTGAAAATTGCTTGATTCACAAATTTTATTTAAATTCTATTAATTCTACTATTCAGCTGAATCATGAGAAAAATAAATACAGAAAGCTTTGAGCTGAGAGGTTAGGCTCTTAACAACAGACTCTTAAAATTCCACAAGATGATTTTATAGAAAAAATGAATGGATAGGCTATAAATGTGTAGAATAGATTAATTTTTGGAGGATATCAAACAGATTGTTATTCTTTCCAGTTTGTCTTTACATGCATATGAACTCTGAAAAATGAGAAACTAGTGAATAATGAGTTGTATTACATTGCCATTTAGTCTTCAATTTTGCTTATCTCTACATGTGTTCTGTTGTTTTACACATGGGCACCAGTCTTAAGATTAAAGCTGACACTGAAATGAAAAACAATAATAACAGTAAAACACAATCCTCCCCTTCAGTTAGCCCTTCTTCTCCCCAAAAAAAGAACTTTAAAAAGAACAGGAGGAAATTCCATATTTGTAGAAGACTCCAAAATAACTTCTAAAGTTGGTAAAGAATCAAAAGACTCATAAGACTCAGAATCATGGGTGATATTTTTGGCAATGCATTAAACCAAAAAGTATCCAGTTTATTATCTTATTGTCTTTAATGATTTCAAAATGACACTTAGGCCCACATTTTATTGAAGTACATATTATATAAAGCAAGTTAATAAAGCACATGCAAGCACAAAATTTGAGTGGACATGAAAAAAAAAAAAATATATATATTAAGGATGCTAATACAATCAAAAATTTATTATCATTTACGAATACCACGTATCAAACGTTATGCTATATCATGTATCAAATGCATCATAGTATAACTAGACTTCAACATTAGTCATTGCTAACACACATATTTTCCCAATTATGTTTTATGCAATATTTTATTACACTCAGTTGCAATAATCCGAAATATTTTTTAAAAAAATAATTACAAAACAGCACTAAAAAGAACATCCTTTTATGCAGGACAGTTTTCATAAATTATAAACAAATATTTTAAATTTTTTTGCAAAGATAGTGAACCTCACTGAAATATTTATTTACTATAATTCAGTGTTTCTCAACTTTTTTTCCTCTATGCATCCCTTTTAACAATGTTAGAAGATCGTCAATCCCCTTTCCTTTACAAAACTTGAAAAATGCATATATATTTATTTAGATTTAGACTATTTTTTAACATGTTCAATAACTTTAACAAGAAAAAGTATAGAAATTTTTGGTAAATACCAAAACTTGAGTAAAAATTGTTTTTTGTATTCATAAACTAAAACTAAATACTTAACAGCTAAATAACAGGCTGACTGCATCCTTCTGAAATTATGAAATTTCCCCTTAGGGAGGAATTCCCACTTGGTTTAGAGCCTTGCTATGAATAATTAACTTCCTTTGTCAGAAAAAAGTTATTTCAAATAATAGTTATAATAATAGTTAAAAATTACTCTATTGCAATAAAACTTTGAAAAGAATTAGCTTAGACAAATAAACTTATTTGTTTGTCTAAGCTAATTCTTTTCAAAGTTTAAATAAACTTATTCATCCCATATTTAATTTTGGAACAATAAAGTAACAGATAAAAACGCACTGTTAATTGTAAAACATTTTTTAATATTTGTATACCTGTCAAAGCTATTCAGAAGGTCTACATTTTCTTCATTGCCAGAACAAGATGAATTTTCAGCTTCAACTAAATACAGAACATAAAAAATTAGGAGTTAATAGACTGTGCTAAATAAAATGCACTCATATCTGATATTCTAGTCATATGCAAATAAATTACATTAAAAAAGAAGAGTTACTATATTTAGACATTTCAAGTTGTATTATTTAACTCGATAATTCAAGATAATGATAAATGATCTATTATGTAATATAGTTTTTTGTTTTTACTCATAAGTATCATCTTTCAACAGCTTAAAGATGAAAAAAGTCAGTTGCACTTTTAAATTTTGCATTAGTGATCAATACAGTATTTTTTTTTTTTTTAATTCCTCCATTGCAATATTTTATTACAATAAAAACAAGTACCTGGCAATTTCTCCAAATGAATGAAAAAATGTAACTGTGTATTACTACGTATGATCAACTACACATGCTGATTATAGGATAATTGGTTTAATAACTGGCTTATAACAGAAATGAAGCAGTTTTTGTGACATTTAGTCTCAAAGCTGTAAGTATCTAAAAGATTCATTCTGCCACGTCAGCAGCAAATTTATTAAAATAAAAAGGGAAGAAAAAAAGTAATCAATGACAGCAAGTGGTAAGATAAAAATATCTATATGATCTATTTTGAGATGCTTGTTGTTGGTAGGACTGTCGTTGGAGACTAAATTGGTGGCACTGATGGCATCTTCAAGTTAATTTTATTAAATTTCCTTATTAGCTCAGTCTTTGAGAAACGTGAATGTAAAGGCATACTACTACTTTAAGGGCAAGCCACAGTAAACCGAGTTCTCTTCAAAGAACATCTTTCAACAGCTTAAAAATGAAACTGTGCCTTGACCTTCTAGTGATAGCATAACCTCTGTACAGATTCACAATGGCAACTTTTGTTGCATACCCAGAAGGTACTAGTATCACTGCTGCATAAAAAAATTGGACTAAATACAGTAAATTTTTAAAGTAGCAAAAACTGAATTGCCTGCTTCAAATGTATCCAAGTCTAAAACCCATACACTAGCTGCAGAAATGATCAAAGCTAAAGTGTTAATCTTGCTAGAAATTTTTTTTAAAAAAAAAGACTATATAATTAAGCAATTCTCTGAGAAACGCATTATGACTGAAGAAGGGAACTTAAATATTTTTGCCATGAATACTATAGCTTTCTAAGTAAATCTAAATCCAAAGATTTGGAAAATCCAGTGGGAGAGGGGAAACAATTCAAAATATATTACTTCTTAATGAATTTCTTTCAGAGTGAATATATTTGGTACCTAATTTCATAAATTAAAAGAAAATGTGTGCTTAGAGAAAAGTGAAGTTATATTGGAAGCAGTATTCTTGATAAAAAGTTTTGCAATTGGCTAAATAGGACAATAGAAAATAAATATGATAACAGATCAAAGTTAGGAGCTAGTAAATGTTTAAGAATTTCTAAGGAAACATTGCTATTCATTCAAGTAAAAATATTAGCAAAATTATCGATATCTGAAACATATTAGTTTTTACCAATACATATACTGATTTCTCCAAATAACTTTCTCAAATCACATATCCACATATTCTCATATCTACTAAAAATAACTAATACCCTAATGATGGGAAAATTCAAAAAATTTAATCTTTAAATTCTCTTTTTCCCTCTTCTAAAGAAAATTCGTACACATGCAAAAACAGTAATAAAGTTAAATCTTTTTTTTAGCATTATTAATGAAAGTACTAAAGCACTTTTCTGATTGTTTATCCTTTACTATCTATTACTTTAAATGAAGTGTTTTCAATTACTTTCATTCTACTTACAACTACGGAAAGCTTCCCTTAATCATTATATTCGGTATAAATACATATATCAAATACTATGTATCGAATATAATGAATGAAAATTTCAGAAAAATTTCAAAAGTGAATTCATTTCTTTAAATATTTTTTTCATTTAGAGCGAATGTGTTGGATGGCATATCAATTCCAACAGAATAATGGTTTTGAAGCCCATGATAGCATCCATAAAATTCCTATTAAAATAGAGTTTATAATTCTACATCTTTCGGAATGAAAAATTAACACAAGTGTTTTATAGGAAAAGTAGCTAATTATTAAATTATGTAATAAAAACAAAATTACTAATTTCACATGCTACCTTCTTGAACATTCATTTTGTTGTTCAAAACCAGAAATGTATCACAAGCAAAAGAAAATAATCTATTTTTCATATTTTAATAATATTTACTGTACAGCATAATTTCTGCCATTATTTAAGACTTCTTGCTAGCATGATGGTAATTTGTAAATACCATTTTTTGAAAACTGTCTTGTCTTAAAGGCAAAGAACTCAAGTAGTACTTGATTGGTATTTGCTTCAGTTTTTAATTTTCTCCCTTCGAAAATTTTTGAAAGGAGAGAACCATGTGATAATCAGAGGTTTTTAGATCTGAGGACTGTGGTGGCTAAAGCAGAATTTCTCAACCTAAATATAAAATGTTCTGGCAAGTTGCCAAAGCAGCATGTGGTCTGGCATTATTGAATTTTCTCCCTTCAAAATATTTTGGAAGGAGAGAACCATGTGATAATCAGAGGTTTTTTAGGTCTGAAGACTATGGTGGCTAAGGCAGAATTTCTCAACCTAGCTATAAAATGTTCTGGTAAGTTGCCAAAGCAGCATGTGGTCTGGCATTACTATGATGCAGTATGATGTGCTTTCTATTGAACATCTCCAGCCTTTTTTCCTTGACTACTTTGTTTAAATTATCCATTTATTAACAGTATCTTTCTGAATTGAGCTTTTTGTTAGGTTTCAGAAGTACATATTACATTGGTCCTTGAATGTTCTTTAGAAAGTCCTCCACGAAGGCATCCCTCCCCTTAGGCAGATAAGCTTTGCCATAATTATATAACCTTACCTAAACTTGAATGTTCTATTGTATACACAGCATTCTCTTATTCAGTCTCAAGCACAGTTTAGAGATGGAGCTGGCAGATTGTTCAGCCAAACAGTATGCTTTTTTCCTAACAATATTTTCATAGGTAATCCACTTTTCATCCCCAGTTATCATACAGTCTAAGTAGGGTTTGTTTTTTGTTCCAGCAAGTAAAGATGTGAACATGCAAATTTTTCTCATTGACTCATGAGGTACTCATTTGGATAGTTATAAAAGTTATAAAGAATCCTAGTAATAATATGGTCCAAAACAATTTGTTGAGCTGAGTTAAGCTTTTCCACAATCACCAATGTTGTCAAAAAAGCATTTTGCTCTATCGTGGTCTTAAAAATATCATCATCAATTAAAGATGGCCGCACAGAGCTTGGCTTATCATTACGGTTGAAATCACCAGCTTCAAAATTTTCGAACCATCTCCAAGACATTCTACCTAAAACTGCATTTCCACTGAAAATTTTCAATAAATTTTGACATGCTTCTGTTGCATTTCTTTCTTGTTGGAATTCATACAAAATATAGTATTGTAAATGTGCTTTATCAGTAGCCATATTTACACGATTGCATTTCAGTTAATTTAAAAAGAGCACATGCACATAAATGCAATGATAAAGAGAGACATACTTATATGTCTCAAATGAGCACACGCACATGTGCTGAAACTTGAAATAACATGATCAGACAGAACTTTCTGGTACACCTTATATATATATAATACATAAAATTTTAAACGCTTTAAATTGTTCATCGCGCTAATTTTTAAATGATTGAAAATAATACAATTAGTTTATTGTTTAGTTTTAAGGAAAATTTTTTATCTTTTTGATTACCCACCCTTCCACCAAAAAGTTGCAAATTCATTGGCAACTTTAGAGAGCATTTGCAAATTCATTGCCAACTAATTTTTCACTAATCTAAATCACGAAAGGCAACAGTGATTTTTAGAACGGCAGTGCACTAAGAATTCCATATAACAGCAATTAATCAATAAAATTAAGAAAAGCTAGCAATATCAGTAATAAAATGCTTATTTTTTAGAGAAATCCTTCCCCCTCCCCCCACTTTTGTTCTCTAAATGTGCATAGCGGTCCAATTCCGCGAAAAAAATCATCAAAGAATTGCCAAATTCTGCATTGCGCACTGTCAAAACAGACATGTGCTAAGCTCATACCTGGGTTCCCACATAAATACTTGTTGGTGACATCATGAGTTGCCACATTATTATTTTACTACTGTTTTGCCTCATGAATTTTTTTCCAGCTTCGTGTGGATAGTCAGAAAAACTAAAATTTTATTTAAAATGTAAAATAAAACTAATATATAAATGCCATTATTAGAGCCTTTACCATAAAATAATCAAAAATTAATAATTACCTTTATCTTTTATACAGCTTTTTAAATTTGTTGAATTTGTGGTAACTTGTTCATGATTTGATCTGTTTTCTCCAATTATCACATCAGAACTGTCATCTGAGAAATTAACATTTAAGACTAATACACTTTCATCAAAATTTTTCTTATTTTCCTCCGTTTCTTTATTCTTAGCTTTACCAGATGCTATTACTTCATACTGATAATTATCTGGTATACAAGTCGCATCAAGTTCAATAGCGTTAATGAATTTATCTGTTACACTAGGTGTTTGAACATCAGCACGTAATGATGTGGAGTTACTCTGGTGATTACTAGAATTTTCTTTTTCATTTTCATCACATACAATAAATTCTTCATTGGAAATATTTGGTGAATTCTTTGGAAGGAAAACGCTTTTTGATAATTTAGTTTGCCGATACGTGGGTTTTTTGTAATTCGAAGGAGGTGCATCTAATGTTAATTTGTATTTCGAAGTGGTCTTTATAGGTTTAACAGGGCAAACTTTCTTCAGTAACTTTTTTTTATCACATGCTTTCCAAGAGCTTTCATTTTCCTGTTCTTTCTTTTTATTTATAGATATCTGAAAATCTTCATCATTTGACACATTTGCTACATTATTTAAGACAGATTTTACTTCCTTTTTACTCTCAGGAATCAAAGATGGTGATATATGACAGAAATTATCTTTGTCTTTACTCAACTCATCTCTATTAATATAATACTTGCCAGATTTTTCACTTTTCAAAACATTTTTATCTTTCTTATCATTTATTAAACTCTCACTTTTATTCATTTTGTCCACAAATGAATTATTATTTTTTATTTCCCCTTCATTTTCTTTTGCAGACTTTAAAGAAGTTACAAAAGATGTATTTTCAGAACATCTAACAGCAGTTTTAAAATTATCAGATACAGTTTTTTTAGGAATCAAAATTGTATTTTTCTCTTTATTCTCAACTTCAGTTTGTAGTTTCTCTTTCAAAACTATTACATTATTTTTCTTAAAACTTTGACCACCGAATGAAGAATCATTACAAGGCCTTTTTTTGGCAACCTTCAATTCTTGCTGATTATCTCTGATATCTTTGCAAATTTCTACAGCCCCACATAATTCTTCATTACCAATATTTGATATATTAGAGAGACCAACTGATTGAACATTAATTTTTGGCACAGAATTGGCACACAAGTTCTTATTAGCATCTTTAGCAATATCTAAAGTATCTGGTGCTAAGATTAATGAATCAGTAGGCATACATGAATTTTGTCCTAAATTGACTGGAAAATAAGTACAGCTCAAACCAAGAGAGCCTTGTCCTTGATCATTTATAATATTCTTCAGGAGATTTTGCTTTGCTTTTGAAGAAGTGACAATGGATTTATCAAACTTCAGTGGAGATGGAGTAATGATATCCTCATTATCTGTTTTAGAATCCTCAAGATCCTGCACAACATCTAAAACCCTGCATTTAGTTGGATCATGTTCAGTTTTGCTTTCATCATTGCTTGCATTAGATAATTCAGTTGATTTTCTGAAATAAAAAAGTAATGATAAAATTTAAATATTTTAAAATCATATTTTGATTCTTATCCTGAAATTTTGAGTATTTATATGAATGAAAAATTTTGTGTCATTATTATTATAATGTATTAGATGAGAAAATGATATAATTTTAATAACAAGAGGCAAAATTTATCTTAAATGTCTTCTTTTTTTCACAGTAAATATTGATTGAATGTTAGTTCATGATTGCTTTGCTGTGATTGGTTGTGCTTATATTAGGCTGACATAAAGTTCAGAAGTTAGAAGGAAAGGATTTGGCAAGCTAGTTTGCGATACTCGATCTTTGAATACGACAAAAAAATCACTATGTAAATGAATCTATCTGGTGACTGTTTATGTCTTGGATGAATTTTAAAATTTAGAAGAACTTGTTTTCTGAATGCAATGAGGAAGAGGAAGATTGTGTGAATATTTTCTAAATTTTCAGAATCTGGTTCCGAAACGTTGGGGGGAGGAGGATATGTGAGGAAATATGGTAATTCAAAATGAAACTGGGAAAACACAGTTTATCTTAACATTAAGAAAAGCATGCATGCTCATGAATTCAAAATAAGATCATAAAATGAGAAATTCTAAGCCAGAACAAGATTCCATTAACTGGATGATTTTAATGTGATATTTGTTCAAAATTTCACAGTAAATTCATATTTGCCACACATTTATGTGCATAGCAAATTTTTACTACACATACATGTGTCCATAAAATAAACTGCCCTTGAACTCTTATATATTTGGTATTGCAGCTATGTACTATTGAGAAGGTCTGGATTACAAGTTGATTCCCTTTTATAAATTTTGTTAAAAAATTTTAATAATAATAATATTAAAAAAAAAAACCTGAACAGTTTCAGATTTTAAATTACGTCCAAATGGGCATTTTTTAAACATTTTGTCTGTTACCCTTATTTATTAAATATCATGTTCTTTGCACTTAAACCATAAAATTCAGTTCAAGAGCAATATCGCTAAATAGTTTTAAATTGAGCATATCTTTAGAATTTCCAATACAGAGTCTCATGCACTGGAGACATAAATGTTTTTTCTGTACAATGTTGCCATTGCTCGCTTTGAAATCCTTGAGTTTGTTAATCAAAAATTCATTAAAGTTTTACAAAATATGAAATCAATCATAAAACAAATTCCAAATTTCAAATTTGGGCTTCCACATGCCCATGTTCGCAGTAGGATTACGTCATTCAAAATGCAATGGCTCTATGTACCATTGTTTTATCACAATGCGAGAAATACACATACATTTATCAGGACTTAAAAGAGAAGGGCTAGCTCATAGAGCTTTTTCCCCCGAAACAGGCAGTGGGGAGTGATGACGTAGCCATGATGACACTGAGCGCGGAGATGCAATTGACAGCATAGAAATTAGTGTTTTAAATTTGAAGAACCAGCGTTTAAAATTAGCTGTGTGTGAAAGATAGTTATAATTTAGAAGAGACAATGTTACTGCAGTATGCGATTTACACTGAACATTAAAAAATTTAATAGTACTTATAAAAACAGATAAAATACGCTACTCTTAACATAAAGCTCCTTTTTTTTAATTTGCAGGGATTTTTTTTCTTTAAATACCTGTTTATTTCTAATCATTTCTTTATCTGCGATTTAACTAAGAGAACTCTAATACTGCTTCTAAAATAACTATAATAACAGCTATTTAAAATTAATCAAAAAGCAACCTTAAATTGGCATATTTTTCAAAATTTCTGCTAATCTAAGTTTGAGTTTCAGCCTAATTGTAAATTTTACATTGGTATATTTACCGATTCAATATAATAACATATATTTTTTAATAACTTTGTAACTTAGGCTTACATTAATATTATATTGAAATAAATACATGTAAGATCTTAATTTAGACAAAACAACTTTACTCACAGTACCTAAAAAAAATTATTTAATTTTCAAAAGGGGAGGTTAAGGATGCAGGTCTTCTTATGCCAATTACTTTAATGTTATATTATTATATTTTATTTAGAATGTTAAGCTAGCACAAAATCGAATCAATTATAACACAGGGTACAATAACAATAACTTAACAAAATTAGTTCTCATTTGAAATATTCTTTACGCTATTAACTTCTAAAATGTCATCTAGAAATATTTTAAATCAAAACACATTATATATACTTACTTGTACAGTCGCAGTGCAACTACAAATTGTTGAAATATTATTTACTGTCTGCCACATTCGTAGCAATCCACTTTTTTGCCTTTTGGGTTGCTTTTCTTTGGGGAAAAAACATATGCATTTCTATTTAAGAAAGGTATTCTAATAAAAGTTCGCACTCTGCAAAATAAACGAATTGCTTCTCTGTTAACTTCAGGATAATGTTTCTTCAGTTTATTAATTAAAGAGCCAATTACATGCTTCTATTTATAGTAAGTTGTACCATGAACTGCACAAAATATGTTTTCGAGCTCGTAAACTGTATTCATCCATGAATGGAAAGGTGTAGTCAAACCTCCTAAGGACAATAATTTAATCCATTCTGAATTAAAGTATTGGTTCATCAGCAATATTTTTAGATATTGTTCAAACTGATGGGCCTTTGTCTCGCACACGGTAGGCAATATAACCTGCAACATATGTTAATGCTTCTTTTTCGGTGGTCGAAAATTGTCTGGCGGAATTCAATTCTAATTCCCAAGCCATAAGAGAAGGTTCCTCTATAATATCCAAAATCAAATCATCAATAGTATTTAATGGAAAAGCACCTTCCTCCTTAGTTTTCAAAGCCCTTTCAAGTATTTCTGATGTTACATATGAATCAATATTTCTGCTTTCTTTAGTCATGCACACTTTTAAAGATAAATTTGGCAGCTTATTAGTGAGTATTAATTGCTTTAAGCGGCGTATAACTTCACTAGGTGATGGATGGTCATTAAACCTACCAAGCCCTCGAATCTGACTAAAAAGACTTTCAAGTGTATCCTGAGTTAATCTAGAGGTTAAAATATATTTAGCATCATGCATTGATTTCAAATCCTGGTGTAGGCCAAAAAGAGAATTTATTGAAATTATTATTCTTTTTTGGAAAGGCAGTATGTTGGATTTTCCCTGAACTCTTAATCCACCAATGACTTTGTTCATTAATTCCAAAACTTGAATTTGTTTTTCATGATGTTCATTTAATCCAAAGGCTGCTTTAAGTATTTTATCTAAAGGAGAGTATGGCTTGGTACAATGCATAACATAAAAAAAATTGTCGATTAACTCAAAGTAGTCAGATGCTTTTTGATTTCCTGTTAGGTGGAGTATACCTTTTGCGGTAGTTTCTGAAAATAACGTTTTCGCTGGAACGACTTTTTGTCTCTTGTTTCCCTTGACCATTAAATAATTTGGTTTTACTTTGTGACACAATTTAATTTCTTCTGAATCTCTATTTAAAACCTCTTTGATAATATCAACGTTTAAAACAGTTCCATCTTCTAAAACAAATCCTTTACCTAAAACGTGTGGTTTCTCGGTAATTTGAAGCAGTGCGCTAAATCTGCAAAAACCCATATTTTTTTTTTTTTTTTTCGTTTGCAATACTGTATTTGGAAACTGAGAACTATTAATCGAAATTTGTAACACAAAGTACTAGATCCTCCTAAATCAGACACTATTGCTTTCACTTCTACTCCAGATGATTGAATATGTCTTATGGATGAAAAAAGTTGTTTCTTCATTGGTGTGTTAAAATCAAAAAAAATATTGTTTGTTTCCACTGCGAAATGAGACCTCTGATTAAAACAAACTGCATCTTTTGAAAAGAACCGAGAATTTGGTCCAGTTTAGAGTCATAGCAGAGTTTAGAATCTATATGCATTTCGTTGAAACCGAGAACGCATATTTTTTCTACAGAATTAAAATATTCGCATCGTTCTTTCATTACAGCAAAAACATCACTCTGAATTCCTGGACTACATGAAAATTTAGCGCACCATGTCCTTAATGTGTTAGTGCTAGGTAAAGGAATTCCTATTTTTTCTATCCAAAAATCGTAGCTTTTAGATGACAGAGCTCTAATGACAATGCAACGCGAAATATCTTCACTAGTCCACCTGATTTTTTTCCTTCTTTTCTAGCAATGCGTTAATCTGCGTCTTTGTAAAAGTAAGCTTTAGACCGTTTTTCCAAATTCTCCGATCCGTGCTGTTTTTTCCTAAATTTTGCTGTTTGGGATTTTAATTTCTGAATTTCCGATACAAATTTCTTTCTAGATGTCGTCCACCATCTTTGTCACTGAGCAAACATTCTAAAATTTTTTTCTCTATTTTTCACTATTTCATTACAATTTCCTAAGGATAGTATTTTGTTCTTCAAATTATCAATACATTCTTATTTATCTTTACACTTAAAGCATTCAGGAATATTGTCACTTAGGACATTGTCACTTGTGAATTTTATTTCAAAATCTTTCACATTTGATTTATTATTTTCAGCTTCAATTTCGTTCTCGTCCTCAAAATAAATTTTCTTTGGGCTTAATTCGTGTAGTTTTCCAAAACCAATCTGCATTAGTTTTCTTTTCAAATGTCTCCGATTTCTTGGCGTTATTTCGTTTACTGCACGCGATAAATTTACTTTCGGCACAGTATTGCATTTCAACAGTTTCTTTTGTGGCAATCCAAGCAAGCGATTTCTTATGTCATCTTCATAATCACTGCACAGAAAATGTTCGCCACAAATTCTTTCGTTTTTTCACATTAAAGAATCCTGTCTTCGACATTCAGTATCCATTCTTTCGTCAAAAGCAATTGTCCTTGGGAAAGCATGAAATACAATATCTCTTCCTTCGTATTCTATAAGTGTTATGGCATGTTGCTACAGCACAAGAAGGCCAATTACATAACGAATACTTTTAATATAGAATTTAAAGAAAACGACTAAAACTATATATAAAATTATTTATAAGTATTGTATAATTATTTATATATAATATATATAGAAAACAAATATGTATGATT